AGATTTTAAAGATTGCACTAATTTTAGTGGTTTTGGCCCCACCCCCTAGGCCCCAAGGGGGAAGGGACCATGAAATTCATAATTTTTGTTCCCCTTCACCCATAGATGCTATATGTCAAAATTGGTTGAAATTGGTTCAGTGGTTTCAGAGAAGAAGCTGAAAATGTTCAAATGTTAACGCACGACGAACGACGACGGACGAAAACGGATAGCAATAGGTCACCTGAGTTTACTCAGGGACCTAAAAATTGAATCTACCTTTAAACTAAAAGTTTCAAGTTTTCTGACTGATGGTTCTTGAAGAGATTTTTAAATGCTGTAACCAAATTATCTTATATTTAAAATATCTCCCTTTTAACGAGGCCGAGTCTAATTCAAGTGCGCATGACTTTAATTTCATGCAGTCATTTGAGCAACAGTACATGTACACCTTTGCCAAGTATTTTGATTTAAATACAAAAGAAACATTTTCTGTAACCCCTGCTGGTCTGAAAAGTTGATTTTACGACAATAATTAGGGAAAAATGCTGAAATGGCTCTAATGACGTCAACAATTTCCGATTTTGTAACCAATGCATGACGTGAAGAATGACGCATGACTCGCTTGTATGTTCAAGATGTCCATGGTTATTATACTAAAAACTGATGAAATAACATCCAGTGAAACATACCTAGCAATCTAAACATTGCTATTTTTTCCAAAAAATCATATGCACCGATAATTCATATGCATATGGTATAAGTATTTATACCGTAACATGGCAATTTTAGAGGTATTGGGCTTCGAAAAAATAAACTTAAAATTCCTCGACTAATCTAGATGGTCAATTTTTTTTTAAATTCCCAGTTTGGTGACATTTTACTATAACTTTCATCTACTTGAATGAAAAAGAAATCGCTTGGGCAAAAATACAAAAAATATGGGAAAAATGTGTTAATTTGGCACTCTTCCAACTAATTCCCATACGGTCCAATAGTAAAATTTGACAACTTCTGAGATGATTCCCTAAGAAACTGGGATGGTAAACATTCAATTTTTAAATCTTAAAACAATAAATATAACAGTAAAAATTAATTTTCAAAAAATTATCAAAATCCCTCGGGCAGAAATAATTAGACTCGGCCTTGTTAAGAGATGCTGTGGTTCTCTGTCTGGACACATTTGAATCCCCTTCAAACAAGCACTCTTTGTGGCATGTTTGGTTAAAAATCATGCAATGGTCTTTGAGAGAATAAGACAATTTACAGAGAGGTGGATGCTGAACAAAATGTGATCAGAAATTCTATTATTGAGCAATTTGAGTCTCAGCTCAGCAATATCTACAATACACTCTGCAATAAATTTATATCCTGATTTACCATGATAAATATTTGTAAACCTATTATTTCATGTATATGTAATTTAGTATTCTTTGCTTTTAGAATATGAAAATTTTGTATACATACCTTCGTAAAATTAAATTATTAACTTGACTAAATTCCAAACACATAAATCGTCCTCCAGGTTTCAGTACCCTATATGCCTCTGTTAGAACCTAAGGTTTAAAATCAAACAGTTGTTCAGTCTAAGTAACGAGGTCCAAAGCCTTCAATAGATTCATGATTCTTTGCGTAGTCTGTTTTCCATGTTATATTGTAATCTGACCAAATTTGTATGAGGAGTAGTATTTTGAAAATATTTCACAGAAATTTCTACATTTAGAAACCATGGCAACATTGCTCATTGAAATCAAAAAATGGTAAACAGAATTACACATGTATGTATCTTTGTGTTGTTAACTTGTGTGCCAAGTTATTTTCAAAAGAAATTCCAAAAACTGTAGCAGGAGTAGAATTTTGAAAGTATTTTACAGAAATTTATGTTTTTAGTAACCATGGCAACACTGTTCCTCAAAATGAAAAAACAATAAATAGAATTAAGTATCTTAGTGTACTGTCTACTTGTTGTCTCTGACCATTAAAGCTAAAAATGCCCTTACTTTGTCAATGTGGGTACAGTTGCGGATTCCATATGCTATTGAATACGCGTCAAAAGTATTGTCTTCAAAAGGTAAACTCTCTGCATTTCCTTGAACCCAAGAAATACCTATTCATAATTTATAATGAAACAAAAATTCAGGTAATGCTTACAAGAAAGAAAATAAAATTTGTTGCAGCAAGTAAAACATATTATAGCAATATAAGTTGCATTTTTGGAAATTTTATTTTGCTGTAAAAATGTGTTATTATGATAAATTTGAATGTACATGTAACTTAAACCTTTATGATCAACTAGACTAAATTTAAGCAGAACAAAGACTTCTGTATACAATCCAATATACGTTTTTATATAAGAAATCGTTATTGTACAGGACGACAATAATGCAATTTTGATTCAATCAAAGCTTATAAAAATTGTTCTTCCATCGCAAATATGAAAGACACAAGTTTATAACGTTATTTTTTCTGTCATTGGAAATAATTATTTACAATTTTACAACAAAAAATTCCGACATCAAAGTTGCAGCTCATACTACTTTAAAGTGACCACCCCTCCCCCAAAAAGAGAAATACATGTACAGTAAAACATGCTTAAAGCAACAGGCTTTTTATATAATTAATTTACGTTTACAGCAAAGTGATTTATATTTCCTGTGCCTCTAAAATATATTGTGATCTTAACAGATATAACAAATTACATTTGAAACAAAGAAAAATTGTTCCTGATTAGTTCCTGGGACTTCATTACAAGCATGCATTACTGTAAATAGGATGATCTACTTCAGTGATGTAGTAAATAGGTAGTTACTGAAGTATACCAAATGTTCACAATGTTTGATGCTGAGAGCATTAAAAAAAATTATGATGCTTGCAAAGATTGTAATGTTTACCAGACGTGATTCCTGCCTCTTCAGCCCGAGCTTTGCCGACATTAAGCATTTCTTGGTTGATATCACACACTGTCACATGAGATGTGTCCTCTTTATAATCTGATAAATCTACAATGTGTTCATCCTCCTCAGCAAAATCACTGGGAATGGAAAAAGCTCCTGCATTTATACTTGTAGGAATGGTAAAATTTTCATCTGTCACCACTGGTTTTTCATTTTGGGACTGTATGTACTTGAGAAAATCGAAATGCAATATCACCTACAAAATTTTTGTTGTAGAAATAGTTCCAGATTATTTGAAATACATGTAAATGAATATGAAACTGATGAGATTTAAAATATTTTGATGCATGTAACAAAGGCCCATGTGAGAATAACAATGTTTACTTGAGTCACATTGGCCTGCTGTTCCATGAGCAAAACAAAACAAGCATAATACTTGAAGAAAAACATGCATATTGCAAGTTTGCTATATATAGTTAAAGGAATTCGTTATATGGATATAACAAATCATGGACATAGCGAATCAAATTCACAGGTCCCTAGGACTTCGCTATAACCGAGTTTCACTGTATAAAGTAAAATTAAGATATTTGCCTTTTCTTTATTATCTCCCCTTGGAAAAAGCTGCAGGAGTAAAATTTCTTTTATAAATTTACTCATCTTAACCAAAGGTTAAAACTAAAAGCCAGATGACTAAAAATGAACATTTCTCACAGAAAAGTTCACAGTTTTTCCGTTGAGGTAATAACATAGACAAAAAGGAATTTAAAATTAATTTTTAAAAAAATACCTTAGCTGTGTTTGCTTTGGTCCCCAGTTAAGTGTCTTTTAGAATACAGAGAGATGATAAACAAATACACACTATTTTTAAAAGTTCACAATCCTGTAATACCTGTTTGACACAGGCAACATCTAATAACTTGGTCCCTGCCACAGGAGCCATTCTGGGGGTTTGTGAAATGGTTCCATAGACCCTGAATGAAGTAAATCATTCATTAAGTCATACTTAAGAAATTTTACGTAATATGTACATGAATGAAGTAAATATTTTACAATTTCAATTTCTTTATAAGTCAACATGGTCACAATATAATTTTTTTCTATACTCTATTTATTTTTCTCTGTCATCGATAAGCCAATGTGTTAATTTACTTCCATTGACTTTTGAACATTTTTAGATTCTGTCTCTAAAACTGATATTAGCCAATTTTTGTAAGATAGCATTTACAAGCTAAAAAAGGATGGGAAATACGGTATTGTATATCTATCTATGGTCTCTGAAATTCCTGAGGGATGGGACCAAAACCATCAAAATTAATGCATGCAGTCTTAAAAAACTGGAACAACTTTATTTTTACCGGTTCCCAGAAAAAGTGCTAAAATGAATGTCACTAAAGGTGACTTCAGTATATATAGTTCACGTGAGCGATCAAAAAAAATAAAAAATACGAAGTTTTTGGCCTTTTTGACCCCAAAAGTTTAGTTAAAACTTTTGATCTCGTTCTCTGAAAAGATTGATAAATATTGTTTATTCACGGAAAAATTGATAAATCATAATTTCACTGAATGAAGTGCATGCGGTGCAATACTGCCCTCTTTTTCAGACTTAGCCATTCTTAATGGTAAACAAACCAATGAAATGCTGTTGAAGCTGAATTATGGTTTCAAAAATTTTGTAGCAACTGAATTTCCTAAAATCCTAAATGAACATTTTCTAATTCCCTAACAGTCCTTTGCGAGTGGTATGCAAGGAATAAGATGTTATAACGAAATCTCATAGGGCAGATGCTAGACTATCCCTAATGGACTTAATACATGTAGTCTATTTATTATCTCTCGAAGATGTGGGCGTAGGTTTTGCACACCCTAAAAGGCACTTTCAGGACTAATCCTAATCTCTCAGGTGGGTACGAGACTAACCCTAATTAGTCGAATAGTGTGCCCCTAACCCTTATCAGTTGAGTGACGTAAATGTTATGTAATAGTCTAATAGACTATTAATTTTTTTCTCTCCTCCTTCCAATTTGCTCTGATTCCAATGTTGCTGAGAAAGTATGGGTGATTAAGTAAAGTCTACCCAATAATTAATATCACATAGTGTTTGTATCAATATTTAGTTCAATATTCACTGGTCCACAGATGTAATTAAGATTGCTAAGAATTTGGAACCCTTTACCAAAATTAAATGAATATATGGATCCAGTGAATATACATATTTTCAATGGGTACATGAGTACGAGTAGCTCTGCGTGAACATTGTGAATTTTATAGTCCCCATCCAGTCCTGCAGCTAGATGCGAATAAAAATTAATCCAATCTTCAAATTTCCTTTTTTTCACTCTGTATCATCTATAATCACTATACCTAAAAATGATTCTAATGAGCATTGAAACAACATCAACACAAAGAGTCCAACAGATAACGACAATCACAACACAAAGAGTCTGTAAATATATAACTGATAATCTCAACACTTCAACAGAAAAACAATCTCAACACAAAATTTCCAACAGAAAACGCCATCTTCAACACAAAGAGTTATCAGTTTTCACAATGATCAACACAAAGAATATCTATTTAACAGCATCTTGATGATTTATACACTTGAAAGTAAAACATATGGAAAAAAAAGATTTGTATTAAATACAATCTCAACACAAAGGTTTTAAAGATTACGACAATCTCAAAACTAAATGAAAATAATGACAATCACTTTAATTTTACATACATCGGGATCGTAGTACACAGGAGAAAATTTAGAAAGATGGAAAACTCTCACCATGGTGAAAAAGTTACATTTAAAAACTGCCTAAAAAGACTACTTAAAATAACGCATAGAGATGATGTCAACACAAAACTGACATCAACGTTTTGGTTGACGAGCTGATAGCTTTAGATTATTCACAGAAGTTTGTTGATGAAGAGGTACTGAACGTTTGAATTTTCTCAAGCAAAATCCAACAGACACTTGTTATCAATTTATGTACTAAAAGTTAACCAGAAAACGACAATAGTAAAGAGTACAAGATATCAACTTAAACAAATTGTTTAATCCAGCAGAGAATATTACAGTATTTTTTGCAACCAGTGCAGTGTGAAAGTGTATTGTGTACCTAATCTCAGCTAGATTCATTGAGACTTAAAATTTTTAGAACAGAGCCTGAGTCTCTTTCCAATCTTAGATCAGTACCACACAATGTTATTTTGGAAATCTTGTCTGGTTTTTTGACCACTTGTTTCAATCAAAACACAATGAATTTAACTCTCCATCTGTTGCAAGTTTTTATTTAGACATTTTTAACTCCCTTTCACTAAAAATCTTTTGTTTCCTACCTTAAAGACGTACAACACACTGGGGGAGATAACTCTTGCGATTTCAATTGAACGTTTGACGTGACGTCAAATTTAACGTCAAAAATAAAGCGTCAAAACGACGAGTAAAACGATCCCGATGTATATCAATCATGAAAGAAAATTGGGATATGGGGCTTGGCTGTGATTGTGCGTACCATACTTAATCAATAAGTATTTTTTAATTAACCCGATTAAACTCCGTAAAAAGCAAGACATAAAATACCATCCCTTAATGTTTATTTCATTTCATTTCATATACAATAAATTGTATTTTTGATCAAAGCGCAGCATTTTTTTTATTCTGAAAATTTTATTTTACATTGCCGAAATTCTCATTATGTACAATTGGCTATATAACATTCCGATTAATGGTCTTCATTACAATTTGTGCATTTACGATATAAATATTGTTTTTCTTCTTTAATTAAATAAAACAACAATAAATAAACAAAAAACTTTTTACAATGTAAAATCGATGTTGTTCTCAGACCCTTACTGATCAAAGAGGAACAACTCTGAAAATGTAGGAGATGTTTATTTTCCTCCCTTTATTCACGGTTTTCCACAGAATCAGATACATTTACAGCAAGACCTGAAAAATCCGAGAATTGAATACTATAGACCTCATATACACAATGTAAGTATAGAATTGAAAAGAATCATTCATTTGTACTGAAATTATCTGCATTTATGAATATCCTATTGCAGCAAATTGCTTGACTTTCTGTCGCTCAACAATGTCGGTTCGCATTTCCTCGAATCAAAACAAAACGTAGCCTATAAGATTTTTAAAATTATCAATGTGCGATTTGATATAAATTGAAATAGTTGAAGAGTTTAATGTTTGATATTTTGAAGTTAATGTGGACGAATACGGAATTTTCATTATAAATTTAGAAGCAACGACATTGAAAGAATGCGTACAATATCGTGAGGGGTGTACATCTATGCAAATGTCGATGTATCCCCACGGCCACATACTGTCTCGTTTGAAATAATGACATGAAACTACAATTATTCCATTTATATCACGGGAGAGTTGAACAAACACCATTTTTATAAATAAAATTAAAGAAATAATATTAAAAATCAACATATTCAAGTTCAACATAACTTGAATTCGTATCCAGGTTTCATGTGATATGGAATTCATAACACATACATATATGGACTAAAAACTAAAATCCTTCAGTAATTTTTTCCTGATACATATAAAAAAACATTAGGCCTAGTCAATATTTATTCTGCATTCATGAATTTAAAAACTAATGCATACCTCCGGGATTCAAATGACGAAATACCAGTATATTTGCACTGTAAACGACGTTTCGTCAAACGCTAATGGTCTGCGACGCAAAAAAGGAAGGGGTGGGGGTGATAGGGGTATTCAAAAATTGTCTAAAAATCTACATTTAAATACGCTTTCCATATAAGAACTTTTAAATTTGTAAGTTAATATATTTTTGAAACAAAAGCAATATTCCAATTTAATTTTTTTAATGTGTATTTGTAGATTCATATAACAAAGTGATAGACCCCCGTCTGAAAGACGCGCGGGAACGTGATTTATTGAGAAAGGGGGAGGGGTTAATTTTCCGCTATTAAATAAAAACTGGTCGTACAAAAATTATACAAAAAATTATGAAGATTATTTTTACTACCAGCTACCTAAAGGAAGTTTTTTTACCAAAATTAAACGACAGGTTTTTTCACAAAAAAATTTGAATTTGAAAAATACGCAATTTTCAAGGCTTAGATAATTCATAGTTTTTCAGTTTAAGGTCTTTAAAAATTGTTTTGATGATATGTATATCAAAAAGATGACTATGTTTTTGTGTTAAATGGTTAAAGGAATAAGCCAATGAAATTTGACATTTATATCTAACCTGGCTTTTTTGAAAATCAAGGTTTAAGTAGTTCATTGATTAAAAATTTTCTCTCCTTGTAAACAACTAAAGGGGGGTAACTTTTGGAAGTTCCTGTCCAAAAACCACTCGAACGATTTTGTCCAAAATGTGCATACATGCAGTAGATATAGTCATGTACTAAATATACAAAAATAACGAAAATTAAACGACAGGAATTTTTTGGGGTAGGTGTGTTGTACATCCTTAAATAGGTTTCAATTTAACCCAAATTGATTGTTTCATATCACTGACATATTTGTTTTAACCTCCAATGCAGAAGAGGTCCAGCAATAGTCAGAATGATTCAAATTCTTTGCTCTATGGTTCATGTTTACAGGTTGATCAATGTCGGAAACCCATGATCAGTCTTGCTTTTCTTACCTCTTTGAAAAAAAACAAATTAAAACCATACACATACAGTATTGTGCATAGCTACTCTGTTGATTATTGCTAGAGTACATGTGATACCATATGCCCTTCTTGGGCCATCCTTAAAAAAATGTTTGTTTGGAATTGCCGCCTGGGGGTTTTCAGACCCAGGAGGGAGGGAGGGATTTTATTATTTTTTTTTTTTTTAAAAATTGAAGCAAAATTATAAAAAATTAAAACTCAATGAACAGTGGTAATTTCCATTTATTATCCACTTTCTTTTATTTATTAATATTATTTGGTCTGATTTGAAAAAAAAAAGATGTACACAGAACGATACTCAAATATTAATCTCATTTAGATGTTAAGATCTGATCATTTATTAATACTAGTAGTTATATTTCAGCATCAAACTTCTAGTTTATTATAAGAATCTTTATTAAACAATACTTTTATAAGTCTATTTCGTAGTATTTCTCTTTGAAATTTAAGACAACGCTTGCAAACAGTTTAAACCACACAAAATTTCTAAGGAATAGTTGGGATGTTTTGTGGAAAACCGGGAGGGGGTGCTTGGTACTTTCTCGAGTTTTCACCATGCATCAGTTTTAACATTACGTTGCAAAGACTTGTCATACTGACAGATAGTATTTGGGATAAAACGTTTCTGATCCATGTAATTTTTTTAAGTGGGAACTGAACGATCATTTTTTTTCCAACATGACGGACTTAACTTATCAAGTTCAATGAGCAATCTATTATAATAGCTCTTTCCAGGTATCGATGTATCATTCCATTTAATTTTTTATTCACCTTTTATTTTTAAAGAGATGCAAAAATGTTCTGCTCTTCAACACAACGCTTGAGTGTTTCCAACATGGACTGACATTTTGGCGGCTTTTGTCAAATTGCCACCTATAATCGCTATATCATAAATACTATGAAGAAAGCGTTTTATTGACCCGAGTTGTTAAATTAATTTGAGTTCAAACCCGACTTTAAAAACCTATTTCGACGAACGAACTAACTAGTACTAAACAATATAAGACGATAAAAAAAAATATTGTTAATATTTTGCCAATAAAATTTTTTGAGCGGGGGGTATTTTAATGAGGCGGGCGGCAATTCCAAACAAACTATAATTTTATTTTGGCCTTGTTTAAACTCTTTATATGATTCATGCAGATTCAAACAAAGCTCTTCAGCAAACAAGTCTCCAAATATGTAAATGACTAAAATATATAATGTACTGGTATATTAAATGCAAAAATTCTATTTCGTAGGATGCCAACAGCTTAATTTGCCATGTATGCAGAATAATACCAGTTTATGAGGAACAGATATCAGTGAAAGTGTGCCAGATTATACACAGCCTGACGGCAAAACAGCAAGTAAGATTTTTCAGATTATTTATTCACTACAAAAATAATGTTATCAAGCAACTGATGGGGGACAGCATAGTTCTGAGGTAGTTTTCAGTTTTGCAGACCTTTTGAAATTGCCCAAAGACAAACCATAATTTTTTTGTTTAATATTCTCCAAAAATTTTATGAATTTCATCTGCTTCATTGGTGTTTATAGATAAAACTATTATTCAGCATATTCAGGGAAATGGTCTTTGTGATAAGGGGAGACGTATACTATGTATAAAGTAGAATTGCAGTTAAAAATTAACCAGTTGCCCTCGACTTTAACTCAGGAAATAGACTTGCTCTTGGAGAACTGGAATGTTGCTGATTCCTTCAATGATATATTTTTTGATAGCTGTAAGTTTATTTTTGACAGCTGTCACTGGAGGATGAGGTTCTATGGAACGCCACAGATTTCCTGGTGAAGGCGGTACAGAGGATATCCCACTGGGCCACCGCCGAGATTCTCCAGTCACTGGGAGCTGTGGTGTATGAAAATGTGGACAGATTAGCTCAGGTTTATAGGCAGTCAAAATATTCCACTGGAAATGTGATTTGAGTTTTATTTGAACCCACATCACAGTTGATTTTTTGCTTAATTGTTTTAGTTTCATGAAGTGCTACTTGGGCCTCGAGGGGTTCTGATTCCACTGATTAAAGAAGATGCCACCAGTGAGGATATTCTTAAAGGAGCGGTTCAGTGTGTGGAGAACCTGACTTTCAGGTATAGTATCAAAAGCAAAATAGAGCTTCTCTGAAACAGAGAGTGTCAGATGTTCCTCTGTTCATTTGTCTTTCTGTCAGTTGTGTGTCTTGTGATGTCTGTTATCATTTCATTAAGAACAGTTTAACTAATTTTGAAGAGTGTCCAGTGAGGAATATATGGATGACAGATATGCTGCCCTGTGTTTCCAGATTTTATTGGAACTTTTACATAGAGTACCTGTTGCTAACATGGAGCCAGGAACACAGTGCAAGGTACTGTGTAGCAAATGCATTATCCATCACTGAATATAGATTTTCATTTCAGTTTCGCAATAAAAGCTTTTCTCAGTGAAATTTCTTACAGGGTTTAATTGTTTTTGTATACTTTTCCTTTAAACTTCAAAAACAATAAATATAAATTGGTACTCTTTTGTAGATTTTGATTTGCAGTTTGAGAGGGCTACACAATTTGTTGACAGCAACCAAAATAATGCCATCTGAAAACCTGGGACCATTGTTAGCTGGAATTAGGGTTTGTTATTTTGTTAAATCTAGCTATGAATAGCACTGTTATAAAGAAAGATATAAAACTTTATACTTCATCAAAGTAATGTAATATTTGTGGAACTAGTGAATTCTGGATTGGACAAATTTAACATGTAAAATTTATGTAATTTTTAATTAAAAATAATTTTGATGATTTAGATAGATGTATATGCTGGTAAATCTCTTGTCTTTAGGTGTTTATGTTTCATGGTCTGCCTGGTGCTCCAGTGGCTGTACCAGAGAGTCTATACCCCACCCCCCTCAGTCAGTATGACCCCTCCCCATCAAGCCCCACAAAGTCAGAGCCACAGACTAATGACTCCTCAGCAAAGTCTGGAGGCGTTAAAAAGTACAAAAAGAAAAAGGCAAAGAAAGGAGCAGAAACAAATCGGAACACAACCTCAAAATCACCACAGGAGAGGGAGGAGAATGAGAATGATGAAACAGAGATGACAAGAGCTAAAGCTGCAGAGGCAGTATCTTCCAGACCCAACTGGGCAAAAATCAGCAGTTCAGAGTCGGAGTATTCTGACACTGAGGGAGGTCAGACTTCAAGGTTGAGGTCACTGCATGCCAAAGTCAGACAATGTGCCCTGGCTTGTTTGCACACAACGATAAAGGTAAATATTTTTTTAATCTGAACTGCAAACTTTAAATGAGCTTTACTGGTCACCTGTTGTCCATCATCTTTAATTCAGTCCATCAGTCTATCTTTTTGTTTGTTTTCACAATTTGACTTCTCAAAAACAATAGGACCAATTTCTACCATACTTTCCGAAAACCATCTTCTGAATGAAGGGAAATAATTATACCCCCGCTCCGAAGGAGAGGGGGGTATACGGTTTTACCCTTGTGTCTGTCTGTCTGTCCGTGTGTCCATCCGTAACAAATTTTCGTTGCAGTTTTCTCAGCAACTGCTAATCGCAGATTCTTGAAATTTTGACACAATCTTCTCTAAGGCATGCCATATGGTGGGATACATTTTCACTTAAATCCGATATTAACTTCCTGTTTGTCTGTACGTCTGTCCGATTCATACATAACAAATTTTCGGAAGTTTTCTCAGCAACTACTCATCGTAGATGCTTGAAATTTTAGCACAATCTTATCTGAGGCATGCCATATGGTGGGATACATTTTCGCTCAAATCCGATGTCAACTTCCTGTTTGTCTGTGCGTCTCTCCGTTTCATACATAACAAATTTTCGTCGCAGTTTTCTCAGCAACTACTAATTGTAGATGCTTGAAATTTTAACAAAATCTTCTCTGAGGCATGCCATATAGTGGGATACATTTTTGACCAAATCTGATATCAACTTCCTGTTTGTCTGACGGTGCGTCTGTCCATTTCATACATAATAAATCTTTGTCGCAGTTTTCTCATTAGCTGTTCATAGCAGATGCTTGAAATTTTATTACACTCTTTGTTGAGGTATGCCATATGGTGGGATTAATTTTGATATGAATCTGATGTCAACTTCATATTTTTCTGTGCATCTGCCTGTAATTGAACTTGTGTATATTAACATGATAGTGCTTATTTACATCAGAGCGGGGGTATTACTAGTGAGCATTGGCTCACAGATTTCTTGTTTTTTCTTAAAATGAAAGCTCACTCCTTCTTGAGAGGCAGATCATCAAGACAATGCAAAAATCAAGGTGGGTTTCTTCAAAAACTGTCTTCTCAAGAACCGTTGGTCTAGAAGAAGATGGACTCCTTGAAATCATGACCCTGGTGGTAGTTGTCTCCACAGTAGGAGATTACTGATTTATATGGGGAATATGTAGGGAATTCAACAAAAACATCTTTTAAGGAACAGAAAAGGGCCACAATATGGGATCACAATTTTTCTTGTGAATATTAAAGAGTGAAGAAATGAACCTGTTTAATATAATGTAGTTGGTGCTTAGAATATATCTTACAAAGTAATGCTATGATATTTTTTGGTTCTCCTTAACTAGAGCATCAATAAGCGAGTAATGTTTGGATACTGGTCGTCATTCATACCTGACTCCACGGCAGCTGGTAATAGTCCTCAAGTCCACACACTTTTTACCGTCATTCTGAAAGATCCCTCACCAAAGGCAAGTTTTCATTGATATTATAATTTTTTATTATAATGTCTTACAAAATATATCTAAAATTCAAATAACATTAAGGCCATGTACAATGTATAATCAATGACCTATTTTATTCAAGCTACATCAATTTTACTGCCTCTGTTTGCATATGAATAAAAGTACATGTATAAGTACAGTACATGTATTTAAAAGCTACTGAAACTGTAAGTATTTGAATTACTTCCCCTTACAGTGCAGAATGGGAGCTCTTGCAGCTTTGACAGCTCTTATTGATGGCACAAAAACTCTGCTGGCAACTGCTGATGACAGGTAAAGAATAGGCCTAATTAATAACTACTTTGAAATTAAAGTACTATAAGATAAGATAATTTTATTTTCCAATTATGGGCCCAGAAGGCATAAAGGTTTTTTTTTACAATGACAAGATAGAAAGTTCTGAAAGAAAGGTTAGTAAACACACACACACATGTATATATCTGATATAATATATACATGTACATGTACATTATAGATGCAGCAGTTGGGGTTATCAAATCGCTAATTAACATGCGATCAAAATCAATTTATCAATATACATATATACCAGTATAGAAATAAATATGTCTATCACATCATTTATGAAAACTCATGGCATTATGCCTTATTTTGAAGGCTTTATGTAAAATTATGTTTTCAGATGATAATATGAAATTGACATTTTTTTCCCCCCATAATGCATAACTATGAATTCAAGCATGCACATTAGTTTTAATTTATTAAATAAAGTGGAAATAGATGTTGTTATTATTGCTTGATTTTTTTTTCAATGAAGAAATATTTAATTTGATCTTAGTGACCAGAAGTTTGCCACATTTGTTCCTTTTTCGGCTGTATTGGGTTCTACAATAAGAGAGCTCCACCGATGTCTTCTGCTAGCGTTAGTCTCCGAGAATATTCCTCTGACTCTAACACAGCTTATCAAGGTGAGAATTAAACAAAAACCTATACTACATGATATAAAACAGCTCAGGTTAGAGAAGTCAGTTTTATTTATGGACTTTTTTTAGCTCATGAAGGCTCTAGTAAGCTTCTCTGATAAAAGTTTTTCTGTTGTTCATTTGTAAATTAGTTTTTACAATTTTCCCTGCCAGAATCATTGGGCATATTTTAAAAACTTGGCATGGAGTATACTTGGATCAAGAGGATTCATGTTTCTTTAATAGAAAAACCATAATTAGGAAATATATTACAGAAAAATAAAAAAAATTATGCAGAAGCTTTTGGGTATACATGTACATGCAGTTTGAATTTAAGTTTGTTCATATTCTAGTCTCAGGAGTAGGATTGTGCCAGTATTAGAAATCAAATTTTTATGGGAATATTTCTGGAAAAAAACCTTAAAAATCTTTTCAAAAAGAACTGGGGCATGTTACTTGGGGGTAAGGGAGAAATACTATGGGATTAGTTTCACAAACTACAGCAATGTTTGGTATCTACATGTATATAAAAATATACATGCAAAAATAAATGTTTTTTTTCCCAGTTTAATACGTTTATATAAGTATAAAAAAAAATTTGGGGCATCATACTGGGTAAGTTAATTTTGGAGTTATAGCAAGTGAAATTTTAAATGTCATTATCCCTTACACATCTGGCTTTTCTAGACTCCTGTTTCTAGACACCTGTTAGGAAATCTGATGTTCTTGCATTTGAATAGTGCTGATTTACATTGTATAAATACAGTTGTAATATTTGTATATTGTAGTGTGTATCCACCCTGATTACCAATGTACCTTACTCGAGGATGAGACCAGGGCTACTTAGTCGGGTTGTTAAACAAATCAGAAATTTCATTAGCTATAGGGGTAAGTCTGCATGAGTTTCAGAAATATAAATTTCCTAAAACAGTCTATGTTTAGAAATTAAACAAGAGGCCCATGGGCCACATCGCTCACCTGAGTAGCTTTGACCATGCTAGCTGTTCTTTACCAGATTTCCCCCTTGTAATAACCTATTGTGATTCCAAATTATGGCCCCGTCCTACCCCCGGGGGTCATGAATTGAACAATTAAGAATCTACACTACCCCAGGATGCTTCCAAATAAGTTACAGCTTCAATGGCTCAGTGGTTCTTGAGAAGAAGAGTTTTATAGAATTTTCCTATATATTTCTATGTAAAAATTTGATTTTTTTTTGTGGCCCCGCCCAACCCCCAGTCATGATTTGAACAATTTGGAATTTACACTATCCCAGGATGCTTCCACATAAGTTTCAGCTTTTCTGGCCCAGTGGTTTTTGAGAAGAAGATTTTCAAAGATTTTTCCTATATATTTCTATGTAAAACTTTAACCTTCGTTATTGTGGCCTCACCCAACCCCTGGGGGTCACAATTTGTATAATTTAGAATCTACAATATCCCAGGATGCTTCCATGCAAGTTTCAAGCCTTGTGATCCCAATGTGACCTATATGCTAGAAAAAGATTTTTAAAATTTTTCGTATATATTTCTATGTAAAACTTTGTATATTTGCCCCGCCCAGCCCCCGGGGGTCATGATTTGAACAATTTTGAATATATCCCAGGATGCATGACATAAGTTTCAGCTTGACTGGCCCTACATGCTAAAGAAGATTTTTAGAAGTTTTTTCCTATGTATTTCTATGTAAAACTTTATTTGGTATGCTTACAGTCACCAATTAAGGGGTTTCAAATGGCACAATTTTAGAATCTAGGCTACCCAGGATGCTTGCACATAAGTTTCAGCTTTTCTGGCCCACTGGTTCTTGAGAAGAACATTTTAAAGTTTTTTCCTATATATTTCTATAAAACTTGGATTCCCTATTGTGGCCCCGCCCAACCCCCGGGGGCCATGATTTGAACAATTTAGAATCTACACTACCCCAGGATGCTTCCACATAAGTTTCAGCTTTTCTGGCCCAGTGGTTCTTGAGAAGAAGATTTTTTCAAGACCCCACCCTATTTTTGTTTTTTCTTGATTATCTCCCCTTTGGAGGATACTTGGCCCTTCATTTTAACAATTTAAACTCCCCTTCACCCAAGGATGCTTTGTACCAAGTTTGGTTAAAACTGGCCCGTTGGTTTTTGAGAAGAAGTCGAAAATGTGAAAAGTTACGGACGGACAGACGGACGGACAGACGGACGGACAGACGGACGGACGACGGACAAAATATGATCAGAAAAGCAGACTGTAAAATTTCCAGATTTATAGCATAGGAAATGAGTACAAAAAAGTAAAATGGAGTGGGCAGACTTGAGCACACACTAATACCTTTGTTTTTACAGATCCTAATGTGAGAGTGGCTTGCTTGACATGCCTAGGAGCTGTGGCAGCCATACAGCCCCCTCTAATGGAGGTCTGTCACATCATCCAGTCAGGCCGTCCGCACAGTCAGACAAGTGTCAGTCGCGACACCAACCCTCATCTGAGTGGAGACTCGGGAATCAGCAGTGGTAACCAGAGTAACTGTTCTCCTAATGCTGAAGCAGGCATGATGGAGGAGGTCAAGGACATTCAAAACTCATCCCCAGGAATGGGGAGCCCTATGGGTTCATCCTCAGGGGTCCAGACCCCAGTGTTCTCAGACATGAGTCTACAAGCTTCTGCCCACAGTGTATCTTGGCTGGTGAAGTTATGTGTGAGGAACATACTGCCCAGTGTGGGGGAGAACGGAGAACATACGGAGCCTCTACCTGTAAGACTGGAGTCCTTACAAGTCCTAGCTCACCTGGGCAAAGGATACTTCCCAATAATCAGGTAGAAAATGTTACAGGATACAGTGAACTTACCCCAACAGTGTAACATCAAGTTTTCAATATTACATATATATTGTTTATAGGTAATGATATGTAGGTACCCTATTCCACATCACACACGGTCTCAGTCTGAGACACCAATGTCAGCCAGAGGGCCATAGGCCAGAGGAGTGATACAGGGTGTGATATGGAAAGGGGTGTTATTATTACAAACTCAGACTCATACATTTACATGAGCAAATACAAATTTTAATTTAAGAAAATATAACTGGATATTTACCGGTATATGGTAATATTTGTATATTGGAGAAATACAGTATTTAATTTGAGGAGTTACATGTAATTATATTATCTCTATAGAAACAGTCTACCTGTCCTACAAGATCTGATTCTCAAGTGTTATGCTGATCCAGATCCTGTGATTCGTCTTCACACATCAAAGGTAAGAAAGATTGTGTACAATTCTGTATGCTTCATTTATCCGAAAACGTTACATCAGTAATCATGTCAGTTTTACAATAGTATAAAATTAGAATGTGAATGCTTTAAATAAAGGAATAATGAAGTGATGTAAATCTTTAAAATTCAACATACCAGTAAGGCCAATGGTCATAATAAAAAAATTTCCTAGATTCTCTTCGCAGGCAGGTGGCTTTTATTTTATGTTTTTTATTTTTCCCATTTTCCAGATTTTTTATTGACCTGGTCAATTAGTGCAGATTTATCTATAATACCCAAATAAAAGTCAAAGTACAGGTCAATTTATCTCTACCGACACATCATCACCAATCTTTCACAACCATTGACCCTTGTTTAACATATATTACAGAAATTACCATCTTTTCAGCTGTCAAAATCATGCTGACATTCACATGATTTAAAATGAAAAGTGAGTGGTAGTTGAATATCAATCCCAATCAGAATTAAGACGAAGAAAAAAAGAAATGAAAAAATCATGGCAGAGATAAAAAATCGGGGCGGGTTGGGATGAGAATCTAGAAATATTTTTATTATGGCCTGTTTATGCATTTGCATTTGTAAGTATTTTTCAGGGGAGCATTGGGGTGCATGGTCCCTTCCACTTTGAATGTCAACATAATTACATGACCTTGGTATAGCATAGGCTATACAAAGTGAATGTTGTGCAGATTTAATCATGTATAGATGAAAATGTGTTGTATTTTAGCTTGTGGATGATCTGACTCAAGCTCTTCAGAGAGAAGTACAGGCAAGGGATGCAACAGATTCCTCAGGCAGATTAACTCTGCAACAGGTATGTTATAAATAAGATTGAGCTGTATATTTGTAGGTTTTTGACTGAACTTGAGGGAGTATACACACCTGAGTTATTTGCTTGGTAAAGAGGACTTAGGTTGCATGGTCTGAGGCCAAAGGCATACACAAAGCATATTCATAATATAGACTTGTTATACATTTAAATTTCAAAACTGTTCCAACCCATGTTTTTGCAGTATGTAATAAAAAATCCTTTGCAGGTGACAGATTTCTGGATTTCACTGTTGAGTATAGCCATTGCTAACATTCTCCAGTCCGAGCCAAATTGTGCAGTGAAGGCCACCACCTGTGACTGTGCCTCCAACATAGGACCAGAAGTTTACGCTGCCCTACCAGTAAGTAAGAAAAATGTTGATGATGTTACTTTTAATTGATTTTAGCATCAGTATGGAAATGTATTAAATGACATGCACAAATATTTCATTTACATAGAAATACTGATTATAAATGCCATTGAGTTGTTTATATAGATACACATTTTGCTTTGTGCTTGGCTAATTACAAGAATGATAGAGTGTCTAGATTTGATGAAATAAGAGTACTGGTTAGCTAATCCTGACAGTGTATTTGAAATTCAGATTTACATACAGTATATATTTACAAGCTTGTATCTTTCAGATTGACAAAAGGGTGTTGTGCATCACCTTAATTCTGGGATTAACGTCAGATGAAGATAAAATAGTACGATCCTCGGCCCTTAGGACCATTGGAGTGTTTGTACTGTTTCCTTGTCTTAGAGAGGTAAGTCAGTTTAATCTGTCTAGAAGTAAGAACTAAATTTTACAGGGTAAAACAAATTGGCTTTTTGAAGGTGATTTTTTTGTTTTAAGATTCAGTGTTTTTCCATAAATCATAAGGAGTTTGATGATTTTCAAAAGAGATTAAGTACACTACAGTATATTAAGTTTATATTAATGATCTACAGAATTGACAAAATATGTCAGATTTTCATGGATGTTTGATGAAAAATTAATTAAATGTCTTTGGACATACTCAGGTGGTGCAGCTTCTGAATTACTTATTGGATTTTGGATCCTAGGTTTTATTCAAAAGTTATACTTGGGAATATACAAGGGAAGAAATATTTTAAAAACATTAAGAAACAACAATGCTGCTATAAATAAGTCATATTTCTTTCAGTAATTTATTTTCCTTTAATCCCTACTTAGGATGTGTGCTTTGTAGCTGATGCTGCTAATGCTATCTTGATGTCTATGGAGGACACCTGTTTGAATGTCCACTTTAAGACTGCCTGGTCCCTAGCTAACCCCTGTGATGCTCTAGTCTTAAACAAGTAAGGATATAGATCTTATCATAAGCAAGAAAAGAAAGTAGATTGAAACAAGGGGCAATTGTTCTTAATATTTTTCAATGCAGGAGAGATAGGAGGACAGATTTTAACTGCAGAACTGTACAACAGGTCTCTGGTTGAGAAAATCAAGAAAAGAAATCAATAATTATTTTAAAAAAATTTAAAAAAAAATTAACTTCAAAATAACAGTCCTGGCAATTTTCTAATTACATGTATCTTCTGTAGTCTTCCAATGATTGCTCTTCCATTTTGTCTACCATTTGTATTTTTTTCTCATATGATTGTCATGTAGACAGGTGATTTCTAATTTTCCTGACATTATTTATTTGTTTGTAGGATTGATGGTGATAATGACTTCATGAATGACTTCTCTGACATGCTGCTACAGAAGCTGTTTAGTACCTCCATAAAGGCCTGTCAGGACAGTGACAAAGTCAAGTCTAACGCAGTCAGAGCCCTGGGAAATATCCTCAGATATCTACCAATCAGGAGCCTCGGTAGGATTTGGTTTGGAATTTCTGTAAACCATTGGACAATAGCACTTGCATGTTTATTTTTATTGTTAAACATTTATCACTGATTTAAGCTGCACATGTTAATTCTTTATATGGGTTGAATGCAGTTAAAGTAATGATTGTGTTTCTTATTTGTTGTTCATGTATAGAAGAAATTGAAATGATGAGTTGTTGTGTCCATTTCAGGCAAGAGTTCTTTCAGAACATCTGTAGAGGATGGAGTCAAAGCATTAATAAAGAACATCAGCAGTGGAACAATGAAGGTAATATGACATTCCTTCTTATTAGCATTGTTTATAGCTCACCTGAACCACAGATTTGTGATTTTTTTCTGGTCACCTTAGGTCTATCTGTGCATCTGTCCTTCTATTTTCTTTCTACATTTTGACTCATTCTCCAGGAGTACAGGGCCAAATTCAAGCAAAATTTCTTAAATTCATCCCCTTAGAATTAAGGGGATGAAGTTAATTAGGTAGCTCGGTAAACTTAGGTGACCTATTGCTATCCGTTTTCGTCTATCGTCGTGATAAGTGCGTCGCACGTTAACATTTGAACATTTTCAGCTTCTTCTCTGCAACCACTCAACCAATTTCAACCAATTTGGCACAAAGCATCTATGGGTGAAGGGGAACAAAAATTTTGAATTTCATGGTCCCTGCCCCCCTGGGGCCTGGGGGGTGGGGCCAAAACCACTAAAACTAATGCAATCTTTAAAAATCTTCTCCTTTACTCCTGGACATCAAGCAGTCAAACTGTTTGCATGATTGTAATCAGCAATGAGTCCTCTACCAAAATTGTGAAATTCATGGCCCTGGGGTCAGGGGTTCTAGTGCTAGGGCGGGGCTAAATAAGTAGGTAGTGAAAATGCATTATTTACCTGAAAATCTTCTTCCTATTCTCCTGGGTATTAAATAAACTAACTAAGTACATAGTTATGATCAGCAAGAGTGCCTCTACCAAAATTGTGAATTTTATCACCCCAGGGTCAGGGGTTCCGGTGTTAGGGCGGGGCTCTATTGATTATATAATGAAAATACATGAATTCTTTGAAAATCTTCTTCTCTGCTCCTGGGTATTATATAAACTAACTAAGTACATCGTTATGATAAGCAAGAGTGCCACTACCAAAATTGTGAATTTTATGG